TCATTTTTTTCACTTTCTCAACCAGGGTCATCTATTTGCTTCTGCTCCACTAACTGATATGTATGTTGTTGGCAGGTGCCATGGAGTCATGCACTGGGACTGGCTCACTCACTTCTTTTGTACACGTAGATGTCAAAGCCCTCTGCTAAGCCTATTAATCTAAACCCTAAAACAAACTTAACCAGTCTTCTCTTTCACTAAGTATGTTTTTGTCTAATATGCACAAGACCAATGTATTTATAGACTATATTTAGAGGGTCAAGTACAAGATGCACAGGAGAGAATGATAATTCTGTCTACTAGAGGGAAGGAAAGTATTAGGAGAGGAAATGAGATTTAATGCAGGTTTTAGGATTTGCTGGACTGAGTGAGAGGAGAGGAAGTCAAAGGTGTGAAATAGCCTGGCAAGATGGGGAACAGGAAGGATAGATATGATCTCAAAGAAGATACTAATGGAGAAGAAATGAAGGGGCTAGAAAGAGGGGCAGAGACTCAAATGCACAAAAGGGCACACCAGGTAACATAAGAATGTTAACCCCGCAGACAATCATAGTAAAAACTACCCTAAATGAGGACTTAATTATGTGCCACACACTATGCTAGGTGCTCTGAGACTCACTTATTTAAGTAAACAACAACTTTATAAAATAGGTACTATTATTACTTCTACTATAAAAGTGAAGAAACTAAGACTAGAAAAGGGTAAGTTTTTTACCCAAGGTAAGATTAGGACCACAAGAGGCAAGACTTGGGTATATAAGAAGCACTATTAGGAAGCTATTAGAAGCACACTTAGGAAGCTATTTCATATGCATGATATAGAATCTTCAGGTTGGTATTGTGGAACTGGGGGTGTGGTGTAGAACATGGCTTCAGGAGCTAAACTTATACAGCTGATTTTTGCTTGCTGGTTAGGCAAGGTATCTGTGGCAGAAAGAGGAGTCCAGGAGGCCTCCTTGATCTGGCAGAAGTGACTCTGTGGGGTCATTTGCCAAGGCAGGCAACGTATAGTTGGGAGGGCAGGATTGGGTCAAACTTAGGCATATTAAGTTTGAGGTGCCCAGGAAACATGCTTCATATTCCAAGGTATATACTAGGAAATGTGCTAAGACACATCCCTTGTGCCTAGGCAGTCTCCCGTATAGAGAAGGCAGACAAGCAACCAGCTATTATATAAATGTGACGGCAATGAAAACACTAACACCTTCGGTTAATTAAGTGTTTAACATAGTCATTTGCTAAGTACCTTTCCTTTCTTATCCTAGCTAACACTCCCCTTTTAGGTAAATGTAAAAATTACAAAAAGAACAAATGCTTATTTGGCATGCACTGTGTGATAGGTACTATTTAAAAACATCACATGTTTAAACCCACTGAGCCAGCAATAACCCTATGAGGTATTATTATCCTCATTTTACAGATGAGGAAACTGAAACACAGAGTTTAAATAACTTGCCCAAGTCTTACAACTAGTAAGCAACAAAGCCAAGACTTAAACTCAGCCAGTTTGGCCTCAGTTTGTAGAACAGGAAACTAAGTCTCAGAAAAATTCAAGTAACTTGTTCCAAGTAATCAAGCACCTAATAACACAGGAAGAGTTATCCTTTGGACAAATACCTGCTTTCATTCCGAGCTCCTGCTACTATCCTAAGTATGTACAACTCTTGAGACCCATGACATGGTGGTGACAGGGGAAAAAGCTAGTGTTGCAACAAATGGGGAGGGATGGGAAGAAACACAGACAGTTTTACCCAGGAAAACACTCTTTTGTTGTACTGGAGGAATTATATATAAGCCACCATGGTGGCACACACCTGTAGTCCCAGCCCTGGGAGGTGGAGGCAAGAGGGGCACTGTGAGTTTTGAGGCCAGCCTGGGCTACATAAGTGATTTCAAGGTCTGAAGTACATAATGAGACCATGCTTCAATCCATCCATCCACCCACACAAACATACAAAGCAAACACACAGAAAGATATGTAAGAATGATGGACAAGAACATCTGAAGCACATGTAGAGGAATGATTGCTAAACAGAAGAAAGTGCTCCAAGGATGTGCACAAATATAGATAGATTTAAGTCAGATTTGTATCTCCTAACTTCAGTTTTCTTCTTGCAATAGGAGAAAGGTCAGATGCCAAAAAGGATTGTAATGCCATTCCCTGGGGCCAGTGAAGATGTAGATGGGTGAAGAGGAATCAGAGATATGCAAGAAAGTATATCACAATAATCATATTCAGTTTTTGGACTCCAAAGACTCTCCCCAGACAGCTGTGATATAGTTGCAGTGAAAGTCAGTCTCAGGCCTCCTAGCAAGAATGCATGCAAACAGCCATAGAGCCTATGTTTGAGTGAAATACTATGCATGGAATGCGCATGTCAGGAAGACATCACAATGATCTGTAAAAAGTAAAAAATTCTACTCATTAATTAACAGAATTATGTTCTATTAATACAAGTAAGACACAATATGGAAACAGAATGCTATGGCTAGTGTTGTACTCCAATAGGAGTTAGATTCCTTGATTTGCATTTACGGAATGGTTGATGGCAATGCCATACAAGATAGGTAACAATTCAATTGTCTAGAGGACTTCTAGGTTGAAAACTAAAATTAAGAGGTCTATTTCCAGTTAAAATCATAGATTTTAAGTTCAGTCGCAAAACTAAGCTGGAGATAAAGAGGAAGAATCAGTAGCATGTAAATCCTAGTTGGTAAAACTAAAGTCAAGAGAGTTTAGAGGGAGGGGCAGAAAAGGGGATGAAAAAAGAATTAAAATATGTATAAGTACCAACTCTCCACAATGAATGTAATCATCATGTATTGTAAACATAGACAATAAAAATTAATTTAAAAAAAAATCACAGGTTTTTGGATGTAACTCAGAGACAGACCACTTGCCTAGCATATGAGAGACTCTGGGTTTGATCCCTACCACTACAAAGGGGGGAAAAAATCACAGAAGGGAAGAATATAAAGTGTGAAAAGGGACCACTTTAAGAACCCCAAGAAAGGGTATAGGTAAGAGAACAGGGAGTCAGAGAAAGTGATTTTTAAGAAGAAGGAGAAAAACCAGGAATGTGTTATCAAGGCTAAATGGAAGAATTCAAGGAGAGTGCAGGCAGTCCATCCGGTCATACAGCATATACCACAGAAGCCCCATGCCATGGGTCAACCAGATTTGGCAAAAGTACAATGGAGAAAGATAAGACCATAAACAAAGGCAAAAGAAATAAACCTTTTGAAAGAGGAGTGATGTTTCTTCTGTCACTGGAAAGACAATGATGGATGGATATAGATGCAGGTAGACAAGTCTGAAGGTGAGTTGATGGAATTACATAGCTTAATCATCCCAGTTTTACTTATAACATAGAAAGTAAATGCAATTCTCAAGCAACTGGAGCTAGGTTATTAAGCTTGAAGATCACAGATGCTGAAATAGTAGGATCTGATAAAACTACTGATAAAAAGGGAGGAGGATTTCTGTTAGGTCCAACAACACATCTATCTGCCTCAGCATCCATATTCAGAGATGCTGCTTTTTCTTTCATTCTATGTTCCAAGCCATGGCTGAGCCCTCTTCTTGTGTACACAATTTTATGCTCACAGACTCAAACACATCATTCTAGCATTTCCCCTTTCTCCTAGGTGGTTTACATCCACATGGAAAATATGCTGTTATTTTTCCACTAAAACAAAAAAATCAAATAGAACTTGACCCCACTTCCCTTTGAGTTACTACTCTCCACCTCTATTCTTTCCTTTAGCATAAAACTTCTCAAAGAAGTTGCCTGTTCTTGTCTTTTATTTCTTTTCCTATTCTGTTGAATCCACTCCAATCAGACCTTTGCTCCCACCACTCCATTCAAACTGCTCTCATTAAGGTCACTAATTACCTCCGCATTACAAAAGCCAATGGTCAATTCTCAGGGCTCATCTTCCGTGACCTATCAGCATGTCACAAGTCATCTGGGATAACTTTCTTTACAGGATTTGTCAGACAGCCTGGACCCTTCTACCTCACTGCTCATCCCTTCTTGGCCTCCTCTGCCTCTCTTCTATCTTCTTAAATTAGAATAGCCCTCAAAGTCTTCACTTTTGTCTGTTAGAAGTTACTCTGAATAGTTGTTGCATACACCTATGCTTCTCACTTGCTCCCCTTCTTTAAGAAATAACAGGACAGGGTCATACCCCATTTTCTTCACAAGAGGCCTCATGTGGCTCAGTGCACTGCTCCTTCTATGGGCTGCCACCCAGGCACCTTCATTGCTTCTCTCATGATTCCAGCCCCAGGGCTCTCAGTGCTTAAAATCTTGACTTCACATGAGTGAGGTGCTACTCCACTGAAAGAAATACCTTGGACTACTGGTCCAGATTATGTCTATAATTCTAGTACTCAGGAGGCTGAGGCAGGTGGATCACCACAAGTTCAAGGCCAGCCTGGTTACATAGTAAATTTAAGGCCTAGGGCCACAGATATAGCTCAGCTGCACAGTACCTTTCTGGCAAGCACAAAGTCCTGAGTTTGAGTCCCAGTATTAATTAATTCAAAGCCAGCCTGAACTAAATGAGACCCTGTCTCAAAAAACAACAACAAAAACCTTGGATCATATAAACCTTCTCTAAAGATTACTAGCATGCTCATGCATTTATTGTTTTCCCATTTTTATCCTCCCATAATGTTACAAAGTTGGAGGTGAGAGCTAATAAAAAATGGGGGTCCCTCTCCATTAGAGTTTGCTCTTGGTGCCCACAGTAAATTAAAGTACGTTTATTTCTTAGACCAAAAAGTAAAAATTACTATTTTTTTTAATTAGAAAATTAGTGGGTCATAGTAAAGAATTCTTTAAACTGATTTATATATGAAGAATGAGATAACAGAGCTTTTATGAGACTACCTAAGAAAGTTTGTTTTAAACTGTTTTATCATCTTTACAATCCACTTGACAACATATGAACACCTACTCATTATCATTAAGTCAACTGAGTGCTGTACCTACCTTATATTTTGAAGTATCCCAGTTGTGCACTATGCGGGCTGGGATGAGGAAGCTGTCATCCACATGGCAGCTGCTGCAGTAGTACCACCCACTGTAATTGCACACCTTGGCTTTCCCATTGGAAAGGCCGATAGAACACTGGCATCCTGTTCAAGGCAAAAGGAAGAGTCTGATTGTTGCACTTTGAATACCACAAAACAAGCCTACATGATCCTCTAGTTAAGTGAAAGGAGCTACAGAGAATACATGCAGATATGTTTCATCTTTTTAGTATTAGCTCATTTCCTGGAGGTTTACTGTGTCACCTAACTGCTTCCATCTTGGGTCTCTTCTGATTCTATCTGTTCTACATATAGCTTCTCCCTTTATGTTCTCACTTTCTTACCTGGAGCTTTCCTCAGAGCCTTATTTGCATATACACTTTTGTTTAACAGTATCTCTGTGAAGACTATACTGTCAGCTCTACTTTACTGATGGAGAAATGAAGATATTTACAAGATTGAGTATGTTGTCTGAGGTTAATAGCCCATGAAAGATGGAGTCTGGATGTGTCTGACATTAAAATAATCCTAAAATCTAATATGTAGCCTTTTTTTTTTTTTTTTTTGCGGAGCTGGGGATTGAATTCAGGGCCTTGTGCTTGCCAGACAAACACTTATTCAACTGAGCTATCTCCCCAGCCCCTGTAGCCTTCTTTTGCTTACAACATCAGTGTAAAGAATTTGGTCTTCTTTGGACCCCATCTCACCTTTCCAAATTTTCCTCCCATGATATGTATGTGACCTCCCATTCACATACATAATTCCTTTATATCTGCATTGGGAACATAATCTCTTTATTCCAGTCAGAGAAATCTCCACATTGTCTCTTAGATAAACATAGTGTGCACCTCCTACATTTCACATAATAGCACATATTATTTCACCTTCTCTGTTCTCTATTTTTACAAATCTGGCCCATTTGCCCAGCAGGTGATTATGCTGCCGAGCTATCTCTCAAGCCCCAAGTCCATAATGTTGTGAGCACTATCCACTTACTGTCAGGAAACCTGGCAATAATCATGACCTTGACACAAGGAAGCCATTACTTTGCTTTCAATAGGAGCTACTACCTTCTACTGATGAGTATGGAAATTCTGTTACAATCATCCCAAAAGACAAAATCCTGGAATGTGATCAAGAACACATAAGCCCCTCATTATTCTGATATTTCTGACCTACAGCTTTCATTTTAGAAATCCTTCTATGTGGAACTTTCCATGGTTGAGTATTAAAAACAATATTAATCAAAACTGACACTATTTCATGAGGTGGGCATAAAGATAATAACACCCCCTCCTATCTCCCCCATACATAGAGGGAGTGAGGGAAAGAGTATTATCTACATATGTAAGCAGGATGGTTTGAATAACTATACTGTGCATTTCTGCTGGTCTATGGAAAGGAGCAGATAATAACTTGTTTTGTCTCTTTTTTTTTCAATTGTTTTCACTTTTGTTAATTTCTTATACATTTCTTTTTTCTTTCTTTCTCCAATTTTACATGCATGTATCTGGCAATATGAATAACTGGTTGGAAGATAACACTATGCAGTATAACAAATACTGTAAAATTCATATTACTTTGTTAAGTGAAATTCTGTATCACTTGCATTTGCTGGATGTTTTAATTATAATTTTTTTATTATTTCTTTTTAATTTAGGGAAGGGTCTACAGGGTGTTCAGGGTCTCACTACTAGATCAGACTTGTAGTGATCCACTTGTTTATACTCTCCCAAGAGCTGGGATTACAGGCTTGTGCCACCATGCCCAGTCTCTATCGCCATCTCAGTGGGCCCTGGGGGTGGGGTCGGTATAGCAGACCCAGGGATTGAATTCTAATTTGTACTCTCTTGAAAAATAAAATAATTTGGTCCAGCAAGATACTTCAGTGGTCTAAAGCGCCTGCTTAGGCAAGCTTAGGCAAAGCGCAGGGACCACGGTTAGATCCCCAGCACCACATGCCACATTAGCCCCACCCCTAGGGTGGGCTAAGCTGGCAAAAAATAAATAAATAAAAAAGAAAAGAATGATAACAATGTCAAGATCAGGGTTGTACCCCATTTCTTTCACAAGGTGCTCAAACACATTTATTTAACAAATCCCTAGCCTAAGAAGATATTCATCCACATGAACTTCAAGGCTAAAAATTTCACAAAATTGCAAAGGGCTTCTATCACAAACTGGGGTTAATAATCAGTTTCACAGTACATACTCTGAAAAGAGAATTGGATCCTGTCTTTTTTAATATGAACAGTATTGAAAGATAGTAAATATGTCTGTATTCTCCTTCAAATGGATCCCTCCATGTGTTTCTTTACTATTGAGTAGCAACAAAATCATTATAAGCTCCTGTTTTTCAGTTTGGCTGAGGAAGGAGAAAGAATGTGTGGAAGATAAGGGAGAATCAAACAAAGTTCTATTTGACAGAGCAGACAGACACTGTCACAATCCTAGGGCTGTAACGCTGGAATGCCATTTCCTGTCCTCACCAACTGCATTACTCGCTTGGCATTTAACATATGCTTTCTTAAACTGTACTATCTTTTCATGGGCTTGTGAAAGCAGCCACACTACAAACTTCTTAGAAACATTATTTTATCCTCAGCACTTAACACAGAGCTTTTACATATACCAGATAATCAGTAAATGTTTATATTGACATGATAAACTCTGTATTGTTCAGTACATGTACACTCACGTACATCTAGACTTTAATTTCCAACAGCTATTCCAAAATTGATCCTTTTAGTCCTGTCACCTAGCCCTTGAAATGGCCTACTTTCATTACTACCTCTGTCAAAGTATGTATACTGTACATTAGACACTTGTCCATCTGAGCTGTAGGATAACATGCAGTGGAACCCAATATATCCTAGATACAGGGATATTGCTAGCTCCAAAAATTGGCAGATAGTAAACTGAGTTAATAGTAAAGTGATATGAATATAATTTAACCTTTTCTAATAGTAGGAGGTGACCATGATCTTCCAGAAATGCAGAATTATCATTATAGTTCAATCTCACCATAGAACTCTAAAAAAATAAAATTAGGTTATCTTAGCTTTTTGGTTGTTTTAAGTTTGGATATAATAAACATTAATAAGAATTTGCTGGATGTTTGTATACTCCTTATAGGTATGACTGGGATTATCAGTCTTTTTTGGTTTTGGTACCAGGAATCAAACCCAGGACCTCGCGCTTGCTAGGAAGGTGCTTATGCTGCTGAGCTCTATCTCCGGTCCCTATCAGTCTTTAATTTTAAAAATGTTACTATAATTTTTTAAAATGTTACTATAATATTCTTGATACAAAATAAACAATATCAAGACATACAAATATGCATTTTTAGGCCTAAAACCATATCAACTGGGCACACAGGTCCAAAGCTGGGGGTTAAATGTATAAGCTAATTAAATGAACTAAATACTCTCAAAACTGTAGGTCTCTGAGCTCATAAAAGGTAGGAAGGGTTAGAGAACTGGATAGGATTCATCATTCAGCTTTAGCTTAGACAAAAGCAGCAGCACAGAAGCTCTTACTCTTGGTTGAATGTTTTTCCCTTTCTACCCTGTCTAGAACAATGCTATTCTACTGCTGGTGCTGAAATTACCCTCATGTCCCTGAAGTGAAGTCTCACTCTGTGTGCTTGTGGCTATTTTGGACCCACACAGCCCTGGGTTAGGGAGATTGAGCCTGCTCTTGCCAAAAATGCACTGTGAGTCTGACCTATCAAATACTCAACACCTGCTTCTTCACCACAAAATAAAGGAGGTACCTCAAAGTGGTGGACTGTCAAATTCAGTGAACATTTTCTAGAGATGTTTATCAAAAATATTGTGGCTGGGGAGACAGCTCAGTAGAATAAGCACTTGCCTGGCAAGCACAAGGGCAAGCACAAGGGCCTGAGTTCAATTCCCAGTGCTGGGAAAAAAAAAAAAAAAAAAAAAAAAAAAAAAAAAAAAAAAAAAAAAAAAAAAAAAAAAAAGAAAGAAAGAAAGAAAGAAAGAAGTATTAAAAAAATATTGACACTTCCCCTAAGATGATTTTGATTTTACAGATTTACAGTACAGGCCAGGAATCCAAACTTCTAATAAGCATCCTCTACTGACCTTCACCAGAGACCCTAATGGGTAAAAGTTAAGGATTACTCTTTAATTTCTACGTGATCTCGAAGGTTCCTTGGAGCTCTGAGAGACTGATTTTATTCAATGAAAATAGTGGGCAGACAGACTGCTCAATGAAAACTACATAATTTTGTGACACAGTTTACTTTCTAGGCTTCTAAAACACTGCAACATTTTAGATTAGGTTTTTGGTCAATTTTTAAGAATTGGGTAGTAAAAGCAACTTGAATTCATTTTACCAGTGTTTTTCCAGAGCATTTTTATACTCTCTGGAAAATATCCTTCTCAACTTAGAAAGAATCAAAACTTTTCACCTCCAGATTCAATGTATTTGTTTTTCAAGGGACATGGGATTGCTGGGAAAGAAGATAAGAGATGGTTAGTAGCCTTAGGTAGACTCATTTTCTAAAAAACAACCCATACCATCTATTTCAAGAAGGAAACATCCGCTGTTTCAATTAATTGCAAGATTTCCTTAAATAATCACACTAGCAAATCATGGACTAAAACAATGCTCCACAAAGGTACACAATCTGGTATTTTACTTTATCACTGAGAAGTTTTTGACAAGGAAAAAAATGTGTTTTCTTACTAATGACTGTTAAAAACAGTTTTCAGAAGGTGCCAAAAGCTGGACTCTGAAAAGCAACATTATGGTAAGAAAAAAAGAGCTGTAAAGTACAGACAAAAAAATAGCTAATTGAAATAACTAATTAGAGCTTATTTACATATATTTTTATGTACTTTCAAACAAGATTTTTCAACAATGTTTCTAAATTAAAGGGCATTTGTAGAGGGGAACACTCTACATGTTAGATCAAAGCAAATACATTCTTCCAGTCTCTTTTTGAAACTTTTCAAAGTGTATTCAATTCAATTTGTAGGAACAAAAAACTATCTCACAAGGGAACCTACTGGCCTTTTTTTTTTTTTTTATTGCTTCCCACCCCACTTCAAATCTTTTATGAACACATGCTCTGA